GCCTCCCAAAGTGCTGGGATTACAGGCGTGATTCTGAACAATAACAGAACACAATAAAAATTTCTTTTGTTTTCTTGAGAGAGGGTGAGTTCCTCCATAAGCCATTTGCCCCATGTTTTAGTTCAGCATATCTGAGATTGTCCTTCGGGAACACATTTCACATGAAGCCAGATGCATCATGTGAAATGTGTTCCAGAGCAGAGAGTAAGTTCAGTTTTGCCTAAGGAGACTGGAACGGCAAGTGAACATTCGATGCTCTACTCACCCTTCTGTCTGCTTTTCACGGTTACAGTCACTGACCAAACAAACGTCTAAGCACCTGTGGTCCACCAGCCTTTTGGCTAGGTGGATGGGATACTAGGATGAATCCTGAAGCCTGTGCCCTCACAGAGCTTATAGCCTGCCTGAAGAAACACACCAGATACTAACAGTACCATAAGCTGCTTTATTCATTAGCAAATATTTACTGAGTGTAGAATGTTCAGGTACTATGCTGGTCTCACTAGGGAATAGTAGTAAACAAAAAAAGCTCCTCTTTTCAAGGACTTTTATTCTATTGGGATGAGACAAGTGAATACATATAGAGCTAGCTACATAATTTATAGAGCTTGGTGCAAAATGAAAATGCAAGGCCCCTTGTTCAAGAAGTATGAAAAAAGACATTTTCCTTTCTTCTGTCTTCTGTGATTTTCTTCTGTCACAGTGTTTTTTATTTGCTCCTTAATGTCATACTCCCTTGGCCATAGGGATACTTGCTGGTTTAGTGTAGACCCTCACAGGCACCCGGAGCCACACCCTGGAACTCAGACTCCCCCCAGGCTTGTGCTAAAAAAGGGCACCAGAGTATGAGTTGTTCAGGGACTAACAAATAGTTTGATATGGCAAGACCACATAATTTTTCAAGAAGAAATTAGTGATGAGGCAGAGTTATAAAGAGTATGTTACTGTGCCTGCTCTTACGGAGTTTACATTCCAGATGGAAGGATTAAAAGAGTAACTACAAAATGGAAAATTAAAGAGCCACGGAGAAGGGTTAATAAAGTATCATGGAAGTTCCGAGTTCTCACGTAGTCAATGGGGACAATCCTCTTGATGCCTGTGTCCTGGTGTAAATAGGAATAGCATTACCTTCTGTTCTCAGAAGTGTTTCCGTTTGGATGATACATTATCTACTCACTGTACATATCCCCATAAGGAACCTTGTTAGATGTTTTTTCGATATTCACAATGCCAGCCCCAATCCCATGAAATTTTAATACCAGAGATATACTCTACATCCGTTTATGTACTGAGGGCCACAAACCATGGTAGCACAAACCATCCAACATCTTTTCATCTTCCAGGAATCTGTGATGTCATCCTATTGAGAATGATGCCCTACACAAAGGACATGATGGCACTGTCATTTCTAACTCAGAAGCTGTGTTGTGACTGACAGGTTGATAATGTTGACTATTTCTTCCTTAAACTTATTAAATAAGCAGGAGGCCATTGACTTGAGACTGTCTCCATGCTTTGAGTTCCTACCTAAGGAATTGTAAGGAACTGCAACCTAACTTGGTACACAAAGTAACTGAAAACCAAGCGTGGAGTACAACAAACATCCCAACTCTCAGCCAATCGCGAGCAGCTGAGCTTCAGCCAATCACCAGCTGCTGACCGTAGCCAAATAATTCAAATGGAGAGCTATAATTAATCAAGCTATTTCTGTAACTCACTTCCCTTTTCTGTCTACAAATACTTCCTGTTGGGTAGGCATGGCTCATATCTGTAATCCCAAATACTTTGGGAGGCTAAGGCAGGAGGACTGCTTGAAACCAAGAGTTCTAGACCAGCCTGGGCAACATAGGGAGACACCATCTCCATGGAAAATTAAAATAAAATTAGCCAGGCATGGTTGTGTACATCTGTAGTACCAACTACATGGGAGGGTGAAGCAGAAGAATCCCTTGAGCCCTGAAGTTCTAGATTGCAGTGAACCATGATTGTGACACCGCACTCCAGCCTGGGTGACAGTGAAACCCTGTCTCAAAAAAAAAAAAAAAAAAAAAAGAAAGAAAGAAAGAAACAAAACAACAAAAAACTCCCTGGCCAAGTTGCAGAGTGGAACTTATTTAATTTGTCTAAAGTTTTTCTTTTAAAAATTTCCCCTCTCTTGGTTTTGCATTCTCCTACTTCTTTACCTACATTGTAGACTTTTCCCTCTGTCTCTTCCAAGTGACTTTACTTTGTTTTCCTCTTTCCTTAATAAACTGCTCCTGCCGGGCTCGGTGGCTCATGCCCGTAATCTTAGCACTTTGGGATGCGGAGGCCGGTAGATTGCCTGAGGTCAGGAGTTCAAGACCAGCCTGGCCAACATGGTGAAACCCCATCTCTACTAAAAATACAAAAATTAGCCAGGCGTGGTGGCAGGCACCTGTAATCCCAGCTACTCAGGAGGCTGAGGCAGGAAAATCCCTTGAACCCCTGACAGGGGAGGTTGCAGTGAGCCAAGATGGTGCCACTTTACTCCAGCCTGGGCAACAAGAGCAAAACGCCAACTCAAATAAATAAATAAATAAATAAATAAATAAGCAAGCTGTTTTAATAGGTCATGCTTTTCAGAATGTTAAGGAAGGGCCATGAGAAGGTTATCTGAAGTTTGAGGTACTTGTACTGAAAATGCAAAGGAACCAGAGGCAGTAGAATGTGTCTCCTTTCCTTGGTGGTGGACATTCCAAGGTTTTGTTGATCAAGACTGGAGTGCACACCAGGAATATCAGAGAACTGTCACAGCAGCTCTCAGTGACACTTAGGATACAGATGCAGCTTAAGTAACTAACTCTTTCTATGTCCATTTAGCACTCCTTTTCCCCAGCAGAAGACCTGTTTGGGTCAATTTGTTACTGTACCAGGACCCGGTTTTGCATTGTGTCGCCTTAGAAGTAGGGGCTGGGGAAAACTTGGGAGTGTAACATGAGTACTGCACAAAGCTGTCTTCGGTGTACAGCATAAGCAATATTCCATAAAATCCCCAGCAAGCCTTTGCTTCCTTGCAGTCAGCTCCTCTTCTGCGGATTCTGCCCGTTGCTCCCTTGCAACATATTTTCATACTTTCTCTAATGATTCTGCCTTTCTTTACCTACAACTGTCTTGGTAAATGTTTTCACCCCAGCACCACTGGCCTCAGATAGTCACTGCTCACCTGCAACAAGCCTGAGAGCCAATTAAGACAAGGCTTTCCCCAAATAGCACAAATTTATACACCACTACTGCAGTTAGTTAATGGACTCATTTACCATTTTTAAATTACCTTATGTACCATCAATTACAGGGTATAACTCTCCCAGGAAAATCTGAATTAATGGAATTCTGCAATTCAACGTACCCCTTCCTCTGCTTGCAGCAGAAGCAACAGAGGACATAAATTCCGATTTTAGATGCTACTTTTTTTTTTTTCTTTTGAGACAGAGTTTCACTCTTGTTACCCAGGCTGGAGTGCAATGGCACGATCTTGGCTCACCGCAACCTCCGCCTCCTGGGTTCAGGCAATTCTCCTGCCTCAGCCTCCTGAGTAGCTGGGATTACAGGCACGTGCCACCATGCCCAGCTAATTTTTTGTATTTTTAGTAGAGACGGGGTTTCACCATGTTGACCGGGATGGTCTCGATCTCTCGACCTCGTGATCCATCCGCCTCGGCCTCCCCAAGTGCTGGGATTACAGGCTTGAGCCACCGCGCCCGGCCTAGATGCTACTTTTATGGCATTTACACCACTTACTCTGTGTGTGTGTGTGTGTGTGTGTGTGTGTGTGTGACCGTCGCCCAGGCTGGAATGGAGTGGCACCGTCCCAGCTCACTGCAACCTCAGCCTCCTGGGTCCAAGCGATTTTTCCTGCCTCAGCCTCCCAAGTAGTTGGGATTACAGGCAACTGCCACTACGCCCGGCTAATTTTTGTAATTTTAGTAGAGATGGGATTTCTCCATGTTGGTTTGGTCTCAAACCCCTGACCTTAAGTGATCCGTCCTCCTTGGCCTCTCAAAGTGCTGGGATTACAGGCGTGAGTCACCGCGTCTAGCCGTATTTCTTTTTTCTTTTTTTCTTTCTTTTTTTTTTTTTTTTTGAGACGGAGTTTCGCTCTTGTTACCCAGGCTGGAGTGCAATGGCGCGATCTCGGCTCACCGCAACCTCCGCCTCCTGGGTTCGGGCAATTCTCCTGCCTCAGCCTCCTGAGTGGCTGGGATTACAGGCATGCGCCACCATGCCCAGCTAATTTTTAGTATTTTTAGTAGAGATGGGGTTTCACCATGTTGACCAGGATGGTCTCGATCTCTTGACCTCGTGATCCGCCCGCCTCGGCCTCCCAAAGTGCTGGGATTACAGGCTTGAGCCACCGCGCCCGGCCCGTATTTCTTATACTTAAAAAATTTTCAAAACACCATATAATTTTCAAAATAATTGGATTCTCAGTGAAATTTTTTCAGCACTTTCAGGGGCCTGAATGTTTGCTCTGAATCTGCATCTATTCTCAAGACATAAAGTAGCATATTTTTGACGTTTTGATCTGAAATTCATTCCGTTGTTTACTTTCTTTTTAACGTAAGGGAAAAACAGACATACACGGGATTTGAAAAGCTGGAAAGCAGTGGGTAGCAGCTGGGGAGAAGACGAGGGGTTAAATTAGAAGACGAGAAAAGGAATCCGTTCGCCCCAGACAGGACAAATCTGGAAGGATGGAGGCAACGTTTCCTTCCTCCGCAGCCAAAACGTCTCAATTTTTAAAATCCGATCTTAGGCCTGATTTCTGCGGCGCCAAGACAACGCAGTAAAAGCAAAGGCTCAAGACGTCCTTTAAAAAGAAAAAGTCACTTTAACAGAATACCGAGGAGAAGGGGGCGACCGCGCAATCTGCCAGGTGAGACGCAGATGCCGCTAGGGGTCGCTGCGTGCCGCACGGACGAGGACCGCCCCCCTTCCCCACCTCCTCCGTCTCGCGGCTCCGCCCCCGGGGCGTCGTCGGCGCCAAAATCAAACGCGCCCTGGCCTGCCCCGCCCCTCACCCCGTGCGCAGGCCCCGCCAGCGGAAGTCCCCGCGCCGGCGCCATGGTAAGGACTGAGACGGTACCGCGTCTTCTTCCTCCCTAGCGTGTGGACCCCGGCCTGGCGTTGACCGCCACGCCGGGCTGCGGGGAGCGGGCCCCGGGTTCTCTGCCTTACCGTGGAGGGCCCTGCAGCGGCTACTCCGCACTCTCCGGCGTTCCCCGCCGCTCCTGTCCGGAGTCCCGAGGCGCGAGGCGTCCGCGTCTGTCCCCAGGGCCCGCCCGGCCAGGTTAGGTTAGAACGCGGGAAGCGTTCGCGAACGTGACTCGAGAACCTCACCAACTCGGATTTGTCAAAAAGGCCCCCGACGCCTCCAGCTTAGTCCCCGCGAGGTGCAGCCCCCCCGCCCCCAGTTAAGAATGGGGAGAGAAAGCGCAAGCGGGCGGGGGGCACTGCGGGGAGCTAACGCCTGGATCCCAAGGCGCCCCCCTGGTGTGCACCGCTGAGTGGTCTTCTGTACTGTAATACGTAGAGCCCATGACAGAACCACTGCTCGGTTTCGAGTCACCTAATGGATCGTCACCGTGTGCTAGTTGGACGATTTCTATGAAAATCCCCCGGTTTCCGCCAAAGGGCAGGAGTCGCTGCTGTTGTGGCGGGTGCTGCTGGTTGTGTAGGGCGCTGTCGCTTTCTTAGGGACACTCTGCTCAGAATTAGGCTTCCTCGTAGATGATGATTGGTTAAGTCCTGGTAAGATTCCGGATCTGCTCTCTGTGAGCTTAACGTCTTTCAGCTCATCAAATCACCATCAGAAACCTTCAGTTTCATGCCGTTTTTTTTCTGCTTCAGTTGGCAAAGAATCAACATCTAATTAAATGGATCTAAAATTTTAATATTTTCATTTGCTTAAGTGGCCGTTAAAGGTCGCCGAGCGAAGCGGGGCGGGTGGGGACGCAGGATCTACTCGTATGGTATTTATCTGAAGATACTTGTCCAGGTGTAGTTATAAATGATAACGGCCTCTTTGTGGTTAAACTAACAACCCAGCCGCCAGGGCATAAAGTACCCTAAGAAGCCAAACGGGACTACAGTTAAAACAAATCTGTTAGCAGAGCCCTCTGTTGTTACATTTTTCTCCTTGCACAGTTTTGCTGTAACTGACTAGGCGAACTGTGCGTCTCAAACACGCTTTGTCCTTTTACCTAATCTCTCTTTACACATCAATCACCTTACAATACTAAATAATGTGTTAACTCTTCAGAAGCTTACCTCCAATAATAGAGAATCATTTTTAAAAATTAAAGCTTTTGATAAGATGTGGACTTCCTTTTTTTGAGACGAAGTTTTGCTCTGTTGCCCAGGCTAGAGTGCAATGGCACAATCTCGGCACACCGCAACCTCCGCCTCCCCGGTTGAAGCAATTCTCTTGTCTCAGCCTCCCGAGTAGCTGGGATTACAGGCATTTTAGTAGGGTCTCCATGTTGGTCAGGCTGGGGAGAATCTCAAACTCCCGACCTCAGGTGATCTACCCACCTTGGCCTCCCAAAGTGCTGGGATTACATGTGTGAGCCACCGTGCTCTGGTGACTTCCTATTTTTTAATATGTGATCAAGAAATAAGTTTAGTGTTATGTTGGTCAAAGATAAACTTTTGATTGGTTGTGAATTAATAGTTGTTTTTATTTGGTTAGGCATCCTAAGTAAACAGTTAATGAGTTCAGGCATATTTTTTACATTGGAAAAGTGCAGTGCTGAACTCTGAGAGCAGCAGTGACAACTACTCAATAATTCTTCAAAATTTTATTGTAATTGATTAGTAGGACTGGCTGTAGGAATTCTGTAACTTCTAATTGAGAAGATTCCTCAGGTAACATGATTTTTTTAATTGGCTTAAAATACTTCCAGAAAAGAGTCGGGTGTTGAGTCTCCTGATCTACTAATTTGAATGCATCTCTAACTTAGATGATCAGATTTTTCCTAGTCTTAATTAAATATTAAATCCTCATTGATTGTTTTTTAGAAATTTCTTTTTTTTTTTTTTTTTTTTTTGAGACGGAGTTTCGCTCTTGTTACCCAGGCTGGAGTGCAATGGCGCGATCTCGGCTCACCGCAACCTCCGCCTCCTGGGTTCAGGCAATTCTCCTGCTTCAGCCTCCTGAGTAGCTGGGATTATAGGCACGCGCCACCATGCCCAGCTAATTTTTTGTATTTTTAGTAGAGACAGGGTTTCACCATGTTGAGCAGGTTGGTCTGGATCTCTCCACCTTGTGATCCACCTGCCTCGGCCTCCCAAAATGCTGGGATTACAGGCTTGAGCCACCGCGCCCGGCTGTTTTTTAGAAATTTCTAAATGTGAGTATTAATGTGGTATCTTTTTACATTAGTTATTTTAATTCTGGCCATGATACTCCTACTGTGGTTAATAATAGAAATTATTTCTAGTCATAAAAGAGACTGATGAATAAATCAGCTCGAAAACAATGTAAATGGATGAGACAGCTCATCCACATTTCTTGAGTAACTTTCATAGCTGCTGAGCTGAGTGTGGAGAGGTTTTCTAAAACTGGGTGCCCCAGGACACCAGATTCTCCTCATTGCCTGCCTCTGGGGGTGGGGGTGGGGAGGGGGGAGATTCCTATGGAATGCAGGGAGCTGTTTAGAATATCAAAGTCTTTCTTAACACTTCGGGATCTGCTTTCTGCTAATGCAGCTACAGACTGAAGTTGTAAGGGGATTTCCACTGCCCCACAGCACCCTTGACGTGGCCTTCAGATTCTAGGCTGACAAAAGCAGGGCTCTCAACTCTGGGGCACAATTAAAGCACCTGGAGAGGATTTTAAAAATGTGTTGCCCAGGACCCATTCCAGAAATTCTGATTCCATTCATTCCAGATGAGCCTGGGCATCAGTATTTTTTAATGGCTCCTGATGTGATTCTAATGTATGGCAGTTTAGGACCCATAGGACTAGAAAAATATGTCAAAGGAGTCTTCTAATGTTATGAATTTCATGCTTGATTTATCAGATACTGCAGAGGCCAGAGTAAAGTGAAGCAGAGAGAGCAGTCCTGGACCCTGGCTCTTCGGTCCTAGGTTTAGTGAGCAGGTCTGTATGGGTTCCTGGAGCTTGGCTACCTGAGATTTCTCTGATTGATCTCTCCAAGCCAGACAGTATGTGGTGTCACTGTATTCACCATGATTATCACCCTATCATATCTACTGGGAGTGTTGTGGTGTTGGAGGGTTAGGAACCTAAGTAGCCTTAAATTTTAGAGTTGAGGGCTTTAGACACATGGTCCTAAAACTAAGAGCTAGCCTTTTTTTTTTTTTTTTTTTTTTTTTTTTTTGAGATGGAGTTTCGCTCTTGTTACCTAGGCTGGAGTGCAATGGCGCGATCTCGGCTCACCGCAACCTCCGCCTCCTGGGTTCAGGCAATTCTCCTGCCTCAGCCTCCTGAGTAGCTGGGACTACAGGCACGTGCCACCATGCCCAGCTAATTTTTTGCACTTTTAGTAGAGACGGGGTTTCACCATGTTGACCAGGATGGTCTCGATCTCTCGACCTCGTGATCCACCCGCCTCGGGCTCCCAAAGTGCTGGGATTACAGGCTTGAGCCACCGCACCCGGCAAGAGCTAGCCTTTTTGTCTCCCCTGTCTAACTTGGCACTAAACCCTGGAAAGGCAAAGACAGCTTCATGTTCCGAAGAAGTTTTTCAGTGTGCTGAGAGAGACAAACATCTTTTCTATGTAGTAAGTGATTTGATGAAGGTATGTTCTGGGAATGCATGCTTAAGCCTGTGAATATGCTTAAGCCAGAACTCAGGGAAGTTCTGGAGGGAGAGTGCCTAAACTAAGCCTTGGGAGACGTTTTGGAGTTTTGAGTAGGCAAGAAGTGAGGGTGTTCTAGGTGGAGCAACAACATTTTTTTTTAAGGATGGAAATGAGAGCATTCTTCGAGTAAATAATTAAAGTAGTTTTTGTATGACAACTCAAGTTGCTTGGGTCTCCATACTGTTAACGGCAAAGTTTGAGGTGGGGTGTGGTGGAAGAGGCTATAAAAGATAGGTTGGGGTTAGGTGATAAAGGGCCTTGTGTATCATACTGGGGTACTTAGATATGTCTGGATGTTTGGGAGCCATTAGAGGATTTTGAGCAAGGTGGGGACATGATCATATTTATGTTTTCCCAGTGCGGAATGTGAACGTAGAGGGTGAGTCTAAGTGTGGTTAGGATTGGAGGTAGATGATGAAGGCCTGAGTGAGGCAGTGGTATTAGAGATGGAATAGACCGGACAGATAAGAGAAATAATTAAATGTTGAAACTGGCAGAAGTTGGTGATTGCTTGGATGTGAGATAAGAGAGGTGAAGGTACCTAGGATGACTGTCAGGCCTCTGGCTTGGGTCACGAGGTGGTATCTATCTGAGACTCAAGTTCTAGAACAGCAGGTTTGTGGGGAGTAGGTATGAGAGAGGAGGAGTTCAGTTTAGACTAACTGAGTTGAAGTTTGTCTAGCAGGCGGGTAGATGTGTGAGACTGAAGCTCAGGAGCGCAGCCAGGGAGAATGCAAAGATTTGAGGTTTCAGCATAAGTTTTAATTAAAACCACGAAAGCAGATGAGATCAAAGATAAGATATTAGGAGATGGGGTCAGTAGCCAAAGCCCGCAGAACAGCAGTGTTTGAGAGTGAACCGAGGAAGAAGAGGAAAAATATAAACTTTAAGCTGTTTATTTACCCATGTTATTCATCAAGAAGTACCTGATAATTTTATTCCTGTGAGAATGAGTTAGTGGGTTTGTTTTTTTGTAGGTTTTTGTGTGTGTGTGGTGTTTTTTTTTTCTTTTTTGAGACAGAGTCTTGCTTTGTTGCCTAGGCTGGTCTCAAACTCCTGGCCTCAGTGATCCTCCAGCCTCAGCCTCCCTAATTACTGGGATTACAGGTGTGAGTCACTGCCCAGCCAAGTTAGTGAGTTTCTAGGTTTTATAAGAATTAAGACTCACTCCCGCTAGTATATAGTCAGAATGGCAATTCCAAATTCTTGTCTTCACTTATGTAAATTCACATTTTCTGATGGAGTTTTTGGTTGGATGGGACAGTCTTTAACTGTCTTATGTCTGCTTTTTAAGCAAATTATTTATGTTCCCCTGTCATCTCCTATAATTTTTGAGAAGGATGCAGATCACATAAATACTAGTGTGGAATTTTTAATTAGAGAACTGGAGGTGGTAGTTCTCACTCTTTTTTTTCGGTAAACCTTTGGGTTGACAGACATTTGGCTCCTTTCTCTTTTAACTTGGGATTTAGCTTTATATATTCTATATACAACATATAGTAAAATTTATTATTAACATATTTCAGCTACATATTATCTTAATTTCAAATTGGCAACAAATTGGCAAAAGGGTATTACAGAAGAATCACCTGAGTAGGCTTCCATTTTCTACTTGGATAGGTCGTTTCTCCTTTCATCTTGTCTTCCACATTGCTGCTATAATTCACTTTCTAAAATGCAACTCTAATCTTGCCACTACTCTGCTTTAGAAATTACTCAGCAGCTCCTCATTGTCTAGAATGAATTCCACTCTCAGCCGGACGGTCGGCTTTCTATAACCTGACCCCAGACCTTTCTCATCTCATCTGCCACTCCCCCTACATACTCCTTACAATAACTATCCCCCACTGCTGCTTCTGGAGAATTTCATGTTCTCCCTAACATTGTGCCTGTGTGTGGTCTCCCCAAGATGTGCTTCTCACCATTTCTCAATTTGCCAAAATCCTTTTACTGTGGCCTTCTCAGGTAACCCTTCTCCCTCTGCATGGTCGAATTCATTCTGTTCTGGGTATTTATTAACAATTTGTACATCTATATATTTTCTCTGAGAGATTGTGTAAGCCTTTCGAAGGTCAGTAAAGTGGCTTATCATTGGTTCACTTTATAAATAGTGAATTTCTACAAAATGCCAAGCTCTATCTCAATTTACAGTTACTATCTTGGCAGCACGTACCACAGTGCTTGGCAGATACTAATTAAAATGAGTCTTTAGGTCTGGCTTTGAGAGTATCAAACCTGTTGGTATCAGATAAGACCATGCATAATATTTCAAATAATGTTGCAAATCTAGTTGTTCTAAAAATATGTTTAAAAGCATTGTTTACTTTTTATTTTTGTGCTTTAGTCAAAGAAAAAAGGATTGAGTGCAGAAGAAAAGAGAACTCGCATGATGGAAATATTTTTTGAAACAGTAAGTCATTTTCTTTAATACTTTTATAATTTTGTGTAATTTTCACCTTAAACTTAGGTCATTCAATGTTAACTGTCCCTTTGTTATACATCAATACTGATCAATTTCTTGAAGAATGGGCAAGATTCTGTGAACATTTGTGGTTCCTGTGAGTTATGGAGTATCAAAAACCATATCCCACTGTTGGTAGAGTTTCTTTCACCCAAGCAGTCCTGCATACTGGCACCAGAATCTTCTGATGCGTATATTTGATTGTCTCCCCTCTCTGCCTGAAAATAATAATGACGAAAGCTCACATCTCCTGAGTTCTGCCTAGGTGCCAACTGGTCTTAGATCTCAAACAATAGAAGCCATAGATCCAGGATTCAAACCAGGGAGGATCATTTGATTTCAGAGGGATTGAAAAATACTAGCCTTTGCATTTTAAGTCTGTCTATAGTGCAACACATAGGCCTCCTTAATTTATTCCAGATATTTGTGCCTGCCACCAACAGGAAATATGTTTAAAATGTCAACTCCTAAGTGATAGAGCCAGAGTTCAAACCCAGGTACCTGGCTCTAGAGCCTGATCTCTCATGACTTTACCATGTTGCTGGAAGGCTTTTCTTTGTCTTCTGGTTAAAGGCCACATAAATCTTTGACCTAAAAAAACACTAACTTCATATGGCTTGGTAGGACCTGCAAAGCCAAGATGGCCACAGTCTGCTGGCTATTTTCATCATCATCAAATGTGACGAAGATGGGGAAAAGTGGTAAAATTGAATATTAAATTGATGAAATCCCTTTTCACTTTAAAGCATATTCTTAGTAAAACAAGCAAAATACACTGGGGATTTGCCCACTAAGTATAATCTTACTGTTCTTAAAAGTGATTGACAATTCAGAGCAGGGTATCATATGATGATGATGATATAGTTAGGAAGATAAATTGGTGAAGCCTGCATGTGAAAATTATGACAATTCTTCTGCTGAGTTGAAATATTTTTCCTATGGTCTCAGCAAGAAAAGGAGGTTTAATTCCTGTAAGACAGTAGAAAGCTGAGGAGAGTGGTTGGGGAAATTATTTCATTTACAATATTGTTAATTATCTCAAATATAAAAATTGGCTGTTTCTGACTGAAAAATTTTAAACCTTGTCCTCAGTAACATCATGACATGAAAGACTCTGAGGATCAGCAGTTTAAGGAAGTTCAGTAATCAGTGAGTTTTTCCCTAAACCTGGGAATTAATTGTACTGATTGATTCAGTTCATATATTCCTATTTCTTTTTTTCATTGTAGCCTACTCAGTTGTTACCCATTTATTTAGTCTATCAGTTTTTTGATGGACTTGAAAAGTGTAAGAGATTTGGGAAAAGTAATGGAGGCCATTTCATTTGTTCTCTCATGAATGGGATATGGTATATCCAGGATCCAGACTGATGTCAAAAGTTGATAAATACTAGATTTGCTTCAACTCTTTTTATTTTTAAATGTACTTCAAAGGAGTTCTTTATATGTGTATATCCTAGGTACCAGGCCTTTTTCAGGTGTATGTTTTGTGATTATTTTAATCTAGTTAGTATTTGCCATTTCATTTTCTTAACAGTGCCCTTGGATGAGCAGAAGTTTTAAATTTTTATGAAGTATAATTTCTATCCAATTGCAGTTGCCTTTTCAAGTTTATTTTGGAAGAACTGTATCCCAAATTTTTCATAACAATAATTAAAATACTTCTGGGGTTTTGTCATCGTTTTTGTTGTTGAGACGGAGTTTGGCTTTGTCACCCAGGCTGGAGTGCAGTGGCACTATCTCAGCTCACTGCAAACTCTGCCTCCCAGGTTCAAGCGATTCTCCTGCCTCAGCCTCCTGAGTAGCTGGGATTACAGGCACCTGCCACTGTGCCCAGCTAAATTTTGTATTTTTAGTAGAAATGGGGTTTCACCATGTTGATCAGGCTGGTCTCAAACTCTTGACCTTGTGATCTGCCTGCCTCAGCGTCCCAAAGTGCTGGAATTATAGGAGTGAGCTACCATGCCCAGCCAAGTTTTTTTTTTTTTTTTTTCTGGCCATAAGATTTAAATATTCTGCATGCTTATTTTCCCTTAATGTTTTGCTTTGCATATGGTGGACATGCAACATGTATATGTGAATGATAGATAGGCAACCATGATTTGTATAATTTTCCTTTTGTTTTGGTATAGCTCTTCCACAAAACCTTAAAAGTAAACAAATATTGACAGATAGATGTTTTGCTTTTAGTTAGAATTGCTAAATCTGTACAATGTGATACATGTTCAGCAAAGCACTGTCAGTGTTTTCTTAAAATCAAAGTGTCAGAGTAATTAGTTCCTATTACCAAGTGATCTGGTATAACTAGGTTGGTGCTTTTTTGTTGTTGTTTTTGTTTTGTTTTGTTTTTTGAGACAGTCTGCCCAGGCTGGAGTATAGCGGCACAATCAATCATAGCTTACTGCAGCCTCAACTTCCCAGCCTCAAGCTTTTCACCCACCCCAGCCTCCCACGTATCTAGGACTACAGGCATGCGCCACCACACCCAGCTAATTTTTTTATTTTGTAGAGAAGCGGTGGGGGAGTGGTCTCACTATGTTACCCAGGCCAGTCTCCCGCTCTTGGGCTCAAGCATTCCTCCCAAAGTGCTGGGATTACAAATGTAAGACCACTGTTCTGGACTATAACTAGTTTCTGTACTTAAGTGGGAAGACATTCTTCATGTTCTGATCTCCAAGAACTTTAAAGAATCATATGCTACTGGCTAAACACAGTGGCTGCTCTCTGTAATCCTAGCACTTTGGGAGGCTGAGATGGGAGGATTGTTTAAGCCCAAAAGTTCAAGACCAGGCTGGGCAAAATGGTGAGACCCTGTCTCTAAAAAAAATTTTTTTAAATTAGCCAGGCATGGTGGTGCATGTCTATAGTCCCAGCTTCTTAGGAAAGAGTATTGTTGAGCCCTGGAGGTCAAGGCTGCAGTGAGCCATGATTGTGCCACTGCACTCCCATCTGGACGATAGAGTGAAATCCTGTCTCAAAAAGAAAAAAAAATTGTGTGTGTATGCAAAAATCTCTTCAAGTTCTAGTGAGGGTTTTGAATGAGATAATTGAAGAGTTTCTTATGACCTCTAAAATGCTTAGTTCTATTATACTATTTCATTTCCAGGTCAATTTTTTAAATATAATTTTTTATGAACATAAAATTATGGTGTGTATATATAGAACACAGTAGCGTGACTATAGTTAACAATAATATGTTGTATGTTTTAAAATATTAAGAGTCGAATTGGAACGTTTCTAACACAAAGAAATGGTGTTTGAAGAGATGTATACCCTAATTACCCCGATTTGATCAAAACACATTGTGTATCTATATCAAGATATCACACATACCCTGTAAATGTATACAACTATTATGTACCCATAATACAAAATTTTTAAAAAGAAAATATAATAGAAAATAACACGGGCTTTTTCATTTTTTAAAACCCTTTTAAACAGAAAGATGTATTTCAATTAAAAGACTTGGAGAAGATTGCTCCCAAAGAGAAAGGCATTAGTAAGTACCTAAGTTATACTGGGATGTTTTGGGAAATATCCGTCATCTTTTCTGCAACAGTCTTTCATTTTATGGAAAACCTAGATTTCTAGAGATAAATCATCACTAGTTACCTACTATCCAAAGATAACCACTGTCATGTTGTCCTTTATTTTTTTGTATAATACATGCTGTATAATACATTTTGAATATATATCTCTGTCATTAAATATCCTTTTATAACATAAATGACTATATAATATCTCACTGCAATAAAATACTTTTAAAAATCCAGTTGATAAGCTGGTTGTGGTAGTACACATGCCTGTAGTCCCAGCTACTCTGGAGGCTGAGGCAGGAGATCACTTCAGCCCAGGTAGGCAACATAACAAAATCCTGTCTTTAGAATAAAAATCCAGTAATTGGACTGGTTTCCAATTTTTTTTTTCTATTGAAAGCAATGCATTGACAGGCATCCTTCTGTATATCTATTATTATTTTGTTTGGCTATATTTATAAGGTGGAATTTCTCCATAAAAGATATGTATAAATCTATTTTAGATATGTATTGCCACATTTCTCCACCCATACTGAGAGTACCCATTTCCTTGCATTCTTTATTGTATTTTTTAGTGTTTTTAATTTGGCAGTCAAATCTAATTGCTTTATTTTGCATTTCTTCAGTTATTAGTGGAGTTGAACATTTTTCTCATATATTGGCCATGCATATTTTATTTTAATATTATTAATTTTTTTTGAGATGGAGTCTCCTCTGTTACCCAGGCTGGAGTGCAGTGGTGTGATCTTGGCTCACTGCAACCTCCACCTCCCAGGTTCAAGCAGTTCTACTGCCTCAGCCTCATGAGTAGCTGGGATTGCAAGCATCCGGCACCATGCCCAGCTAATTTTTGTATTTTTGGTAGAGATGGGGTTTCACCATGTTGGCCAGGCTGGTCTCAAACTCCTGACCTCAAGTGATCCACCTGCCTTGGCCTCCCAAAGTGCTGGGATTACAGGTGTGAGCCACCATGCCCGACCACGATGCATATTTTATAGATGCACATTGATGTCTGTGTCTTTTGCTGTGTTGTTTCAAAATGAAAAAAAAAAAAAAAAACTCTTTTATTATGAGTGTACATATAAATGAAACTAGATGACCATTAAGAGTCCCTCACACTTTCATGTACACTACACAATTATTTTGTCTTTACAATCATCAGTGAACAATTGGTTCTGCTACTTCTTAAAGATGTGCAAATTTCTTAAGTTTAAATACACAGTGTTAACCCTTGAACAACAGCATTTGTTGAGATATTGGGATACCAATCCCCCACACAATTGAAAATCTGCATGTAACTTTTGACTACCCCAAAACTTAACTACTGATAGCCTGCTGTTGACAGGAAGTCATATCGTATGTTTACTATTCATTAAGTGGCAGTGGATCATCATAAAGGTCTTCATCCTTGTCATCTTACATTGAGTAGACTAAGGAGGAGGAGGAGGAGGAAGTGGTATTGCTGTCTCAGGTGTCAGAAAATCCATGTGTAACTGGACCCGTGTAATTCAAACGTGTATTGTGCAAGGGTCAACGATACAGTATTAATTACACCAGTGTCCTAAGGTCCCCACACAGATTGTAGGTAATGGAATCTCAACTGTATCTTGAAGGATCAAAAACAAAACAAAATTCAGTACAGTCTATAAGATGGAAACATTTATTTAAAAAATTTATGCTAACTAAATTCCTTTTCTTTTTACCTATTTTCCTCCCAGTTATTGACAATTTTTTTCTGCAGTATAAGATGATAGCCAAATTACCCGACATCTTAAAAAAAACCATTATTTAGAAAAGGAAAAATACCATATAGCAACAGACTATAAGTGTTAACACTATTAAAATTATTTGCTGAGCGCTAATGCTAGATCTTCTATTACTACATAATCTACTGGGGGAGAAAAACTTGCGTTTCTATAGTTTTGTTTTACTTTTTCAAAGGCTTCTCACAAGTAACATTTTATTGATATTATCGCTATACACCAAAGTAGGTATGGAAATGATATCTAATAGATTTTAAAAATTAGGCATAAAGAACGATTTGCTTTAGAGTCATCCAGTTTTAAAGCTAAGAGTTAGGATTAGAACTCAGGTCCTATTCTTAATCCTGTATACTACCTGTTTTCCCCTAAGCTCCTGTATACAGTCGTGCTTTGCCTAAGGATGGGGATAATTCTAAGAAATGTTTCCTTAGGCAATTTCATTGTTGTGCATGTTGTTATTTTTAAGAGTTTCTTATTTATGAACTTTTTAACTCTTGATTTGTCATATTTTTTGCAAGTGTTTCCCCAGTTTTTAAATTTGTTCTTTAAATTTTATTTATGGTGTTTTTTAACATAGTCTTTAAAAATTATCTCTTAGCTTCTATGTCAGTGAAAGAAGTCCTTCAAAGCTTAGTTGATGATAGTATGGTTGACTGTGAGAGGATCGGAACTTCTAATTATTATTGGGCTTTTCCAAGTAAAGCTCTTCATGCAAGGAAACGGAAGTTGGAGGCTCTGGAATCTCAGGTAAGCTGCCATAGTTAAAAATAATAGATTTGCTTTATTACAGAGAGTTGTTTTACTTCATCCTCTTTTCATTTAGCGGTTTCTTTTTTTTTTGAGACGGAGTTTCGCTCTTGTTACCCAGGCTGGAGTGCAATGGCGCCATCTCGGCTCACCGCAACCTCCGCCTCCTGGGTTCAGGCAATTCTCCTGCCTCAGCCTCCTGAGTAGCTGGGATTACAGGCACGCGCCACCATGCACAGCTAATGTTTTGTATTTTTAATAGAGACTGGGTTTCACCGTGTTGACCAGGATGGTCTCAATTTCCTGACCTCGTGATCCACCCGCCTCGGCCTCCCAAAGTGCTGAGATTACTGGCTTGAGCCACACCGCACCCGGGTGCGGTTTCTTTTAAATTTTTAGTATGCATTATTTGACTGAAAGTCTAAAGATAATCAACACCTCTTTCTCCCAAACAATATAAGGCCTTTAGAATGTTTTAATTTTCATCTTCCCATATGTCAAGATACTGTTTTTGTTGCTATTTCTATTGTTTTGTTTTTGAGACAAAGTTTTGCTCTTGTTGCCAAGGCTGGAGTGCAATGGTGCGATCTCGGCTTACTGCAACTTCCACTTCCTGGGTTCAAGCAGTTCTCCTGCTTCAGCCTTCCAAGTAGCTGGAATTACAGGAATGTGCTACCATGCCTGGCTAATTTTGTATTTTTTTAGTAGAGATGGGGTTTCACCATGTTAGTCAGGCTGGTCTTGAACTCCTGACCTCAAGTGATACACCCGCCCTGACCCCCCAAAGTGCTGGGATTACAGGTGTGAGCCACTGCACCCAGCCTTTTATTGTTTTTTAGTTTTCTCTTTTTCAGTAGATGTTTTTTTGAGAATAGTTTTAGATTTACAGAAAAAAAATTGATGGAAAAGTATGGAGAGTTCCCAAACATGTGCCCTTTCTCCCTCACCATGCACACAATTTTCCCTATTATTGACATCCTATGCTAGTGTACTATGTTTGTTATAATTGAGCCAGTTTTGATTTATTGTTAACTAAATTCCATAGTTTACATTAGGGTTCAGTCTTGGTGTTATACATTATGCGAGTTTTGACAAATGCATGATGATGAGTATCCGCAATCACAGTATTGTACAGAATAGTATCACTGCCCTAAAAATCTGCTGTTCCCCACCTGTTCCTCCCTGCCTTCTCCTGAAACCCTAGCAACCGCTGATCTTTTTACTGTCTCTAATAATTTTACCTTCTCCATATAATTGCAGTCATACAGTATGTAACCTTTTCAGATTGGCTTCTTTCACTTAATAATATGTATTTGAGGATTTCTCCATGTCTATTGGTGGCTTGATAGCTCATTTCTTTTTATTGCTGAATAATTATGTGAATATACAGTAACACAGTTTGTTTATCCATTGAGGTATTGAGGAACATCTGGGTTACATCCAAGTTTGGGCAGTTACAAATAAAGCTGCCGTAAACATTATGTAGGTTTTGTATACGTGTAAGTTTTCAGTACATTTAGGTAAATACCAGGGAATATGATTGCTGGATTGTATGGTTAAGTATATGTTTACTTTCTAGGAAACTGCCAAAGTATCTGTTTTTACATTCCCAACTGCAATGGGTAAGAGCTACTATTGGTTTACATCATTGCCAGGATTTGGTGTTGTCAGTGTTTGATATTTTAGCCATTCTAATAGATGCGTAGTGGTATCTCATTGTTGTTTTAAATTGCCATTCTCTAATGACATACGATTTGAGACATCCTTTTTTTTTCTTTTTTTTTTTTTTTGAGATAGAGTTTCACTCTTTTTGCCCAGGCTAGAGTGCAATGTGGCTATCTTGGCTCATTGCAACCTCCGCCTCCTGGATTCAAGTGATTCTCCTGCCTCAGCCTTCTGAGTAGCTGGGATTACAGGTGCGCGTCACCACGCCCGGCTAATTTTGTACTTTTAGTAGAGAGGGGGTTTCACCATAATGGGCAAGCTGCTCTCAAACGCCTGACCTCGGGTGATTCACCCACCTTGGCCTCCCAAAATGCTGGGATTACAGGTGTGAGCCACCGCACCCGGCTCTGGAACATCTTTTTTTATGCTTATTTGTCATCTGTGTAAAAGGAGGTATTTAGATCTTTTGCCCATTTTTTGATTGGGTTTTTTGTTTTCTCATTATTGAGTTTTAAGAGTTCTTTGTATGTTTTGGACACCAGGTCTTTATCAAATATGTGTGTTTCAAAGATTTTCTCTGAGTCTGTGGCTTGTCTTCATTATCTTAATAGCCCCTTTCATGAGCAGTTTTCAATTTTAATGAAGTACAACTGATCAATTTTTTTCTTTCCTGGGACATTCTTTTGGTGTTGTAGCTACAAAGTCATGGCCAAACTCAAGGGCATGTGGATTTTCTCCTATGTTATCTTCTAGAAGTTTTGTAGTTTTGAGTTAATTTTGGGGAAAGGTATAAAGTGTGTCTAAATTCAATTTTTTTGTACATGCATGTCCAGAGTAACTGTATTTTAGTGTAAGGTACTTCGTGTGTGTGTGTATGTGATAGAGAGAGAGAGAGACAGGGTCTTGAGAGAGAGAAAGAGAGAGAGACAGGGTTTTGCTTTGTCACCCAGGCTGGAGTATAGTGGTACAAACATGGCTCACTGTAGCCTCAACCTCCCAGGCCCAATTGATCCTCCTGCCTCAGCCTCCTGAGTAGTTGGGATTATAGGCACACTACCACAACTCGGCTAAGTTTTGCACTTTTTTGTAGAGGCAGGGTTTTGCCATGTTGCCCAGGCTGGTGTTGAACTCCTGAGCTCAAATGATCCACCCACCAAAGTGCTTGTGGGTGAGTCCCTACAAGTAGCCTATAACCCTATGCACTTTATGGATTTTAAAACATTTCAAGAAGGAATCCAAACTGAAGGACATCCTTTAGTTATTTGTTCATCCAGAGTTTAAGAGTTATAACTCTCAATCATTGTTTGAAAATGTGTGATTTACCATTGCTTCTTCTTTTTTTTTTTTTTTTTTTGAGATGGAGTTTCGCTCTTGTTACCCAGGCTGGAGTGCAATGGCGCGATCTCGGCTCACCGCAACCTCCGCCTCCTGGGTTCAGGCAATTCTTCTGCCTCAGCCTCCCGAGTAGCTGGGACTACAGGCACTCACCACCATGCCCAGCTAATTTTTGTATTTTTAGTAGAGACGGGGGTTTCACCATATTGACCAGGATGGTCTCGATCTCTTGACCTCGTGATCCACCCGCCTTGGCCTCCCAAAGTGCTGGGATTACAGGCGTGAGCCACCGTGCCCGGCCACCATTGCTTCTTGAATATAGAATTAGTAGTTTTTCCTCAGCATTTTGAAAATATTACTTTCTTGTCTGTTGGCATATGTTGCTAATGAGATGTTTTGCTGTCATTCTGATTGTCTTGTTTTCCTTAGTAACCTCTTTCTGTTTGCTTTTAAGATTTCCTTCAGTCGTTGATGTTATATTTTGATGATGTTTTATCATGAATCCGAGTTTGCATGTTTGAATTTCCTCTGCTTTAGGACTCCGGCTAGCTGCTTCCACGTAATGATTAAAGTCTTCTATTATAGAAAATTATAAGGTGGTATTAAACTGTTTCCTGTTCCCTAATAGCACTGTTCTTTCCTTCTGGGATTCCTATTTGTATCCTCATTCTATCGTCTACGTTGTTTAAGCACTCTTTATTTTCCCATGTCTTTCCATGTCTGTGATTCATTTCAGTTAATTTTCTCAGCTCTCTTTCACTTACAGTTTTTTCTATAACTATTTCTAATCTGCTACTTAACTGTTCATTGAGTCTTTTTATTTCAATAATTAGGTTTTATCTCTATCTGGTCCTTTTCAGTTCTGTTTATTCTGTTTTTCCTGCAGTGTTCTATTTCATTATGGCTTCTATTACCTTTACCTCTTTTATATTTTGAAACATACTGATATGGCTTGAATCTGTGTTTAATCCCAAATCGCATGTCAAATTGTACTCCCCAGTGTTTAGAGTTGGGGCCTGATGGCAGGTGATTGAATCATGGGGGACAGCCAGCTTCTCATGAATGGTTTACCACCATACCTCAGTGGTATTGTTGTGATAGTGAGTGAGTTCTCAGGCAATCTGGCGCTAAGTGTGTAGCACCTCCCGCCTCTCTCAGTCCTGCTCCTGCCATGTAAAACACCTACTCCCATTTCTCCTTCCACTCTGAGTAAAAGATCCCTGAGATCTCCACAGAAGCAGAAGCTGCCGTGCTTTCTAAAGAGCCTGCAGAACCATGAGCCAATTAAACTTCTTTTCTTTATAAATTACCCAGCCTCAGGTATTTCTTTACAGCAATATGAGAACAGCCTAATATACATGCTTAATTTATATTTTCAGATTACTTAAATATATCAAATTTGGGGAGGGCTATTAGTTTGATCTGTGTATCTGCTGGCTACTACCATTCATAGTTTTTTTAAACCTGTATGTTTTTTACTTTTTATTTATGAGCTCACATTCATTTGGTTATGTTTAGTCTGCGGGAGCCATAGGTGCTCTGTGAAATAGTGGTTTCAGGCTTGTTTTTTTAGAGTCTCTGGGTACTTTAGTAGTTATGGACCAATTTTTATGTTAATTTCTTGGCTTACAGTTCCAGTACCTCATGTTTTATACAGCATGAGTACTGTGTAAGTACTGTATAAAATTTAGTATGCATGTCTGTGCATAGTACGGTTCGAGAGATTTGTTTTCCTATAGGTGATTTTCCCCCACCCTACCCCCACGTGAAGTGCAAGATGAAGGTAAGCTCCTTGTTATTTTTCATGGAGTTTGCTGGTACTTTGAGTTACATGCTGGAACTCAGTTCTAGCTCTCCTTGTCTCATGGCCCTTCACATTTGCTTTCCTGGTGTGCCTGTTAGACTCCCAGACCCTAGTTACCGGTGCCAGTATCAGGTCTAACTTCCTTGGGCAATAGAACATCACCTTTCTATTGTTGCTCTTTGTTTTCTCTCATTTC